AGGATCCTCCTTGCCGTCGACTTCCACTGTCGGACTCCAGGACTCCGACCTTTCCAGCTGGAAAGCTTATAGCCCCCAGATCAATCTTCTCCACCTAAGAAGAAAGAAGGGCCAGGGAATCAAGGGCCCCAGGCCCATTTTCACAGGCCATAGGGCCCTTTTCTTCAGAGAGAAGAGGGTCCAAGGCCTTTCCCCGATAATGTTGTCTCTCTCCAAGAGCACGAGGAGGGCCAACACCCCTATGTTGGCAGCTGTGCAGACAGACACAGAGGCTTCTCCTGATGCCGTGGTTACAGAATTTCTACACACGCTCCCTCGGAAGGCACTTCCATCATATCATCCCGGCTTCCCCAGAAGCAGGTTCCCCCATCTCTGCAACGTGGGGAGTAGCATGTCCCGAACATGTACCAGTGCCCCAACATGGGCTGCTTCGGGAGATGACCCCCCTCTCCCATCTGCACTCACGTGGAACACATTTCCTTCTCTTCTTAAGAGGCTGAAATCCTTCTCTTCCTTTACATACTTCCTTCTCCATGAAGCCTTCCTTGATTCCGCCGACTAAAAGCACACCCAGTGTTCTGTTTCAATCTTTCCTTCACGGTACCTCTTATTTTGCCCGTACAATCTCATCCACAAGCTGGTTGTATCTCCCCAGTAGGTTGGAAGCCCCTGGAGAGCACAGAGCTGTGTCTTTTTCATGTTGGATTGAACAGGGTATGTGCCTTCTTCTAGCCAACCACCCGTGCCGGCTCAGTGGGTGCTTTGGGGATGAGGAGGCTGCCCCCAAGCACCCACGGAGGCCTTATCTCTTCTCGCTCAGGGTTCAGGAAGAGGAGAGATGACTTTAGCATTCCCAAAGAGCCCACACCATGTATTAGGTAGGACTGGCCAGGCACATGTGCCATTCCACTCCAGTCACATTTGTCTCACCAGGGCTGAGCCAAGGGACTGGCACATAGTAGGTGCTTAACCCACATCTCCAGAATTGATTTGACTTGGTGAATCCTGACGGGGGAAGAGGCTCTCACAGATCTACAAGCAGCACAAAATTCAGGAGGCGATGAAGCCTGACAAACCAGCTTCAATGAATGGATCAGGTTCATTAAAATTAGCTCATCATTGTGGGAACAAAAACTGTGCTGTTAAGATCAGTCAGCCTTTCACATACTAAGATTTTCAGCTGGAAACAAGCCATTCACCCAACCCCTGAGGACTGCCGGATAAAATATGGCCCATTAAGGTTGTGAATTAATTACTGTTGTGTGGCAAGAGGGAGAGGCTACGCAGAGGAGAGAGAGCTAACCTTTGAGTCAGGGGATCCCAATCATTGTCCTACCTCTGGCACAGACTGGATGGGAGATACTGACCTGAGCAAGTCCCTTCGTCAATCAATCACCAAACCCCTCATTAAGTGCCTACTGTGTGCTAGACAGGCTGAGTTTCAGCTGCACCTCAGGCACATCTGTACTGTGTGGCCAGGAGCCTAAGTCACTTCCCCTCTGGGTCAATACCTTGGGCAATTCAATTTGTTGAGCTGACCACTGTATTGGAAGGGGTTTCCTCACCATGTGGAATGCTCTATGTGGAAAAAATCACAGGTGTGGATTTTAAGAAAGGAAGGAAGGACAGAAGCAGGGAAGGAAGGAAGGAAAAAAGGAAGGGAAGGAGGAAGGAAAGAAGGAAAAAAGGGAGGGAGGAAGGAAGGAAGGAAAGAGAGAAGGAGAGGAGGGAGAAAGAAGGAAAAGTCATAGAGGAACCCAGATCTTCCACACACCCTCCAATAAAGATTTAGAAAGGTACCAGATTGAATAATGATCAAGAAATTCCAAGGGAAACCACAGGAAGTGACTTCATCCAGGCCAGGACTGCACGAAGAGCCAGCCTTGCAGGAACCTGCAGGCACTGGGAAGGATCCTGCCAGGAAGGCCCATGTAAGTGCAAGAACACAGGCCCTAAGCCTACCAGCACCCTGGCACATGGATGCTCTGGGTATAAATGTTACTTAAATTTGTGGATTCCCGCATGTGTCTGCTCTTCCCATTCAGAATGGGCTTAGTTGTGAAAGAAGACACCCTAGAATTAGGGAGGGGGTGCTTTAACGCTACTTTTCTTGCTATGTTATTTCATTAAATGCCTTTGCTATGAACTAACTGTGACCTTGCACTAACTATTAGAAGTAAGCCCACCGACAGGGGCTTGTAAGCTATTGTTTTGAATGCACACATCACTTGAACTTGGGGTAGCTCTTCTGGGGCACTCGCAGTGCGAGTTGGAGGGGTGGGGATGTCCACATTTGGACCACAGAACATGGAACGTCAGAGCTAGAGGAGGCTTTAGTAGAGGGAGGGGGGATGTCTTAGAAGAGAATGCCAGAATTCCAGGAGACTCATGATGGAAAATGTTCTTCACATCCAGAGAATGAACCGATGGGGTCTGAATGCAGATCGAAGCAGGCCGTTTTCACTTTTTTATTTTTTCATAGTCTTTTTCTTTTGTTCTGTTTCTTCCTTCGCGGCATGACTGATACGGAGATAGGTTTTGCATGATTGCACATAAAGAACCTATTTCAAATTGCTTACCATCTTAGGGAGGGGGGAGGGGAAGGAGAAAATTTGGAACTTAAAATCTTATAAAAATGAAAGTGAAAAATTATCTTTACATGTAATTGGAAAAAACAAAATATTATTTCAAAATGAAAAAATAAAGAATAAAATGTCAGAGATGGGAGGGACCTAGAGATAATCTAACCCACTCCACTCATTGGTCAGATAAGGAAACTGAGGCACATAGGAAGAAGGGATTAGCCCAGTCACACAGTGAGCTGGTAGCAGAGCCGGGATCTGATCCCGAGTCTTCTGACTCCCCTCCCAGTGCTCTGTACCTCCATGAGAAGCTAGCTCCTTGAGTACACCCCCAATGTTATATTGATCTTCGTAGCTCCAGGGCCAGCAGAGGGCCCCACACCCCCAAGGCTCCAATAAAAGTAGATAGATTTGAGGGCTCTGGTGCCTGGCAGGGTGCTGTGACTCCAGTGAGGGGACGTTGGCTGCTCTGGCTCTGCCCGTGACAAGCTGGTCATTGTGACTCCCTGTTCCTCTGTCCCTCGTCCCATGTCCCATCTATCCCCGTGAAGCCTGAGGATAGCTGAACTTTGAACAACTTGGAAACAATTGAGCTTGGCATCTCCTTAGTATTTGTTTTTGTCCAGATGATCAGTGAGGACATGGTGACTCCTCTGAGTCTGCATTCACCAGAAAATTTCAGAGCAGTCTGCTTCCCTGAGGGGTGGGCCCAAAAGCATGCACCCTGGGCATCGAGTGTACCAGCTCCCCAGAGGGAAGGGCAGTGGTCCATGGGTGAGGGGTGGTTAGCCATGGGGATCTTCCCCCTTTCAGACCATTTTTCATTTTTAAAATATCTCTTCCCCAAAGGGAGGATACCCTTGTTCTTGCTACGACATTTGATCAAACACATTTGCTAAGAGAGAATTAAGCCACTGGCTAATTGATAATAGGAAATACACCAGTGGGGGGTTATGAGTGAAAGTGTTAGCCGTATAGCCCCAGATTTATCTTTGGGACCAGTGAGAGTGGGCACCCCGTGGGAACCCAACCAAGTAGTGCAAGTGAAGATGGGGAATCCCCCAGAGAGGGTGATGAGCGTTTGCCTTCCTCTCCTCCTCTCTTTTTCATACTTTATTACAAGGGATGTCTCAAGGGAGAGACACATTAGGAAGCACAGCTGATGTAAACCCAAAAGATAGCCTACAAAGCTGGACATAAATTAAAAACAAACCAACACTTAAATCTGGAAAGGTGCATCTACGTAGGAAACAATGTAAGTGAAAAAACAAAGAAAAGATGTCTCTCCCCAGACTGGATGGTGGAAGTTGGGTGAGTCCCACAGCCCCTCCTGCCATCTCTCAGCTACTTTCCCTTCCTCCTCCCAGGGTGCCAAGAAGTTGAACAAATACTATTCTGGACTTCTTGGAAGGGGCAGCCAGTGGAGGGGACTTGGTGCTGGGCCAGGAGGGAGCTGGGTGGGGTGTGGGCTGGGGCAGCCTGCCGAGATGGGAGTCACCACAGTGGGGGGCTGGGGTCTGCTGCAGGAGGTGGGTGGGTGCTACACACTGCCCAACCATCCTTGCTGGAACCCTATCCCACCACTCTCCTCTATCCCTCCATCTTTCTGTGGCCATCTGTCTGTCTGTCTGTCTAGCTCTCTGACCAGGATGCTCTGGCTCCCTGCAAACAGGGTCCCCCAGGACCACCCCAGCAGGAATCTCAAAGGCTGCCCCAGGCCATGACCCTTTACAAAAACATAAATGGGGGCATGGGCGTGGGGGACAGGTCTGGCTGGGAGACGTAGACCCTGAACGTCTCTACCCAGGCATCTCGAAAGGCTCCCTAGTGCCTCAGGAGGAAGGTTTCAGTGCCTGCCACAGCTGCTGCCTCTCCTTAACCTTCTCCTCTCTGCCCTCTCCTACTCCATCCTTCATCCCCCTGCAGGCCAGGCTCTTCCAACCTGCCAAGGTGACAATTAGGCCAACCAAGGACCTTCCTCAGGGCTCTCCCTCCAGCATTCAGGCCATGCATCTGTGTGACTTCAGGGCTCTGGGCAGATTAGGACACTGTGATTGTGCCTTTGGGGTCTTTGGATTGGTGTCTTACTGATAGAGAACAAGGGGGGAACCCCAACTCCGAAGTCAGAGAGCCAAGCTTCAGACCCCATCTATGATGCCTCCTGCGCTGGGGGCCTGGCCAAGTGGCTTCAGATTTCGCTTCCTGTGTAAAATCTGTGGTCTCCAGGTCTTGTCAGCTCAAGAAAGAGATCTCGTCAACGCCGCTCCTTAGGAAACCTCCCATGGTTCCCCATCGTCCCCCCTCTCCGATGCACCACGGGATGCTGGGGGTAAAGCGAGGCCAGTCGGGCTTGCCCAGACCCCAAAGCCACCCGCCATCCCCAGCCAGAGCAGAGAGAGTCAGAGACGGGAGCTCCCACTACTTTATATTAAAAGTTTATTACATTATGAAAATCTACTGTACATGGAAAAAACCCATTGGATTCAGTACAGCTTTGCCGAAAGCCAGAGACGACCACCACTTAGGGGAAGGAAGATTCCCACATCTGGCCAGGCCTTGGAGATGGAGGCCAGCCAGAGGTCAGCCGCCACCACGCCCGCCCAGTTCCAAAGGAGAAGTGTACCGCCCGTGTGGCCTCCAGCCAGGGAGGCTGGAGGCCCAGGGATGGGTCAGCCCCCATCCCCTAGCCCAAGGACAGGCAGGGCGCGAGGCTCTCGAGACAGGCCAAGTGCCCTTGTTTTGGTACCATAGGTCAGAGTGGGGGAAGGTGGCAGAGCTCGGGCCCAGGCTGAGCTATTGTCACTCCCTGGGAACAAGCCCCAGATCATTCATACCTTGTTGGTAATTAAGAAAAGGGGCAAACACCACAAACAGAAACTGTGCTTTGGCTTCAAATTTTGGTACCTTTTGGCGAAAACAAATCAAGCCTCGTCCCCTTGACCCCTGGGGCCCTGGGCTCTGTGGACTTCAGACAGGATCAGTGGGGGAGAAGTTAACTTATGTCCAAAGTAACAAAGCCCGGTCAATTATATGTGGGCCGAGAGGGGAGAGGAATGTGCAAAAGAGTCACTGGGCTTCTGGGGGAGACCGGCCCCTGGCACAAAGAGAAGGCAGGGCTGTCCGAACTTCTTCCCTCCTCCCAGCTGGCAGGGGCTGCTGGCGCCGGTCATTCACAGGGGCACCTGTTGGTGCCAACCAGAAGGTGGAACACCACCGGCCGCTGGCCACAGCCTTAGCCAGCTGAGACGCCTCTGAGAGAGGGGTGTGCTGAGGGGGGGTTGGAGCAAGGGGAGGGGGCCGGAAGGAGGGGAGGAGGGCTGGAGCGAGGGGTATGCTGAGGGGGGAAGAGCGAGGGGAGGGGGGCCAGAGCAAGGGGTGGGCTGAGGGGGGGAAGAGTGAGGGGAGGGGAGCCAGCTGGCAAGGCCAAGGTTAGAAAGACCAGGGAGTAAAGTCTCATTCTTTTTGAAAGGTCACATGTAAGTCTTCCCTCCTGCCCCCCAGCCACCCCAGCCCAAGTTGGCAGTCAGAGAACCAGCCAGAAGCAGTTGAGGCTGTGCTCCAGCCTCTGAAGAGCTCGGGGCCAGAGTGGACCAGGCCAGAGCCAAAGGCGGAGAGAGAGCCAGGTGTGGGGAGAAATTCCAAGTTCCGAGTCCTGAGTGGAAGAGACGGTTTAGGGTCTGTGTGCAAGGGGGCAAGGCAGCCGGGGAAGGGGAGAAACACCCGCCACTGTCCAGGAACCGTGGCCGGGCCGTCACGCATAGAACTCTTCCTGCCGTTGAGGCTTCTGGTAGCCACCGTTGGCCTGCTTTGGCTCTTCCAAGGAGTAGCTGCCTTCATCCTTCTTCTTCATCCGGTAGAGCATGAATCCGACCAGGAAGACGGCAAAGAGCAGGCCCACGAGGCCGCCAGCGATGACCCCTGGGGAAGAAGAAAGGGGACACACGTGAGCGCGCGCACACACGCGCGCACACACACACACACACACACAGAGTTAGCCCTTTGAGAAAGAACAAAACAGAAAACTAGAAATAACCACCAGATCTCGGCCGGCCCTCTCCACAGCAAGCCCCCACTGGCTTCCCCAATGAGAGGACAAGCCCTCCAGAACAGTTTGGAAATCGAGGCAGGCTGAGCCCTGGGGCCGATGGCCAGCTCTGGGGCTTCCCACTCGCTTCATTCCCACCACTCCCAATCGGTAAAATGGGCCAACGACCCTTCTCACCCAGCTCTCCTCCTGCTGCGGCCCCCACCCCACTCCCAGCTGCCCGGATGACGTCAGGAGCAGGCCGGCATCTTGCCGCCACTGGCACCAGGGCTTAGGACTTCCCTGTGCCCGATGGAAGTAGCAACGTCCGGAGCGGGTGTATGAAGTCACGCCCCCTCCCCTCCACGGCCAGACCCCTCGGAGTGTCCCAGGGGACGTTACTAACTGAGCAAGTCTTCCATTCCCCATCCCCAACAAGAGCGAGATTCGGAGAACCCTACGGAAGGGGAGGAGAGAAGGACTCCCGGGCAGAAAAGACAGACCGAACAAAGGCTGGGAGGTGGGGAACTCAAGCCCTGCCCAAACAGGCGAAGCCTCTGATCTGCCCCCTGCTCATTCAGGGCTCTCTTGTGATTGGGCCTCCCCGAGACCACACCCCGGGAGCCCGACTCCCGGCCTCCCCCCAATCCACCCCCCCCCAACCCCAGTGCACACAGTAGGCACTTCATGAAAGGCTGAAAGGCACCTCCTAAAACTTCCTTCCGGTCCAGGATACCCTGGGAGGCTCCCGTGGCTCCGCTGTCCACCACCTCCTGGTCAGGTTTGTTCCTGTCCAGGGGGGAGGCAGGTTTCTCTCCAGAGGGGGCGAAGGTGAAGTCATCGCTCTGGCGGGAGGGAGACAAAGCAGCGGTCAGCTCTTGTGTGAGCCTCTGCCAGGACACTGGCAGCTTCCGGGGGGGGGGGGCTCTCTGCCCTCACTGCCCACCCTCATCCCAATTCTGGGAAACCCTCATGACTTTGAAGATGCCACTCCCCTGGGCTCCCCACCTCATCAGTGCCCTCTGCCGTTCTGGCTGGAGGGCAGAGCCAAGAACCTAGCTTAAGGAGGGAGCTCAGCCTTCTTCCTGTCCCTGATCCACTTTTCCCACCACCAGGCTTTTGTTCAGGCTGTGCATCCCTCCTGAGAGCCCCTCACCTCTTCACTCATTCCTACTGGTCCTTCCCACCTGTCACCTTCCTTCAACAGATGTGGAGCTGAAAGCCCACCCAAATGTGAGGCTCTGACTCCTCCTGTCTGCTGCCACATCCTCTAGGTGTGGCCTCTCCCAGGAGGCTCCCACCAACGAGCTCCCTCCACAGTGGAAGGGCCCTCAGAGGCCAGGAGTCCGACCTCAGCTCAAGACATGAGCCTCTCCAGCAGTTCCAGCCTCCACACAGAGCCCTCCAGTGAGGGCCTTCCGCGACAGCCATTCCCTCTGATCATTCAGAAGCTTGTCCTAGCACCCACCTAATTCTCTCCTGCTGGTCTGGGGCTCAGGAAGGGGATAAGAGGAGGACCAGAAGATGGGGGGAGATGCTGTACATGCATGCAGACTTCGCTCTGTCCTAAAGGAGGACAGAGCCGGGGGTGGCTCTCGGGGTCAGGGCCCACCATGGCTGGGAGATCCCTGGGCAATCACTGCCCTGGCCAGGGCCTCAGTGCCTCACTCAGTGCAAGGAAGGAACTTCCTCGCTTCCGCGCTGTCTCCGGGGTGCTCAGACCCTCTGCTTCAGGCTTGTACAGTTCCACGCCCCACACCCCTAATGCCCCCCACCCCGTGGCCATGACAGGAATACTTGCCCCACTTCCTGAGCTCTCCTCTCCCAGATGCTGAGTTGAGCCTCCGTCCGGCTGGTCGCTCCCCGGAGTGCCGCTGGCCAAGGGGCCTTCCTCTCCAGAGCTTGGGGGCTCGGGTGTAGACACCCTTGGGTGCACCACACTGGGATCTGAGGCCATGGTGGCTCCTACTGTGGAAGGACGGTGGGTGGTGGAAGGAAGCGTCACTGCAGGAGGTGAGTGGGTGGGCTCGTGGTTGGGGGCAGGCTCTGCCTCAGGCCCCCTTCCAGGCGGGAGCGCAGACCCCTCTCCTGAGGCTTCTCGTCCGCCTGGGGATGCTTTCCCTGGGCTGGTGTGCGTGGGCTCAGGAGGCGCAGCGGTCAAGGCGGTGGGGAGCACAGGCGTCTTCCTGGATAGGAGGCTCTTGTCCAACAGCGGCGTCTCCAACAAGGCCCCTGCAGAGCAAGGGCCAGTCAGCTGCCAGGGCAGGTATGACGTGGCAGGGACAGAGCACTGCGCCCACCCCCCAGTAAGTAAGCCAGAGCAGGCATGCACGTGGCCCGCTGACTCACAAAAGACAGCCTGGAGGGAAAGTCACTCTGCCTCTCAGTGTAAATGGCTTTTAAAAAGGTTCAGTTAAGCCCTCACTGGAGAGCAGGGTTCCAGTCTGGGTCCAGGCATTTCCTAGCTGTGGAACTCTGGCCACATCATTTCCCTCTTCTGAGACTCGGTTTCCTCATCTGTACAATAGGAAGAACAATCCTCAAACGACCCACCCCTCAGTTGTGGCCCGGAAAATGCTTTGTGAGTCTCCCAACACTCTAGAAACAGTAGGTGTTGTTAGGAATGATAATAATAATCCTTGTTGTTGTCGTTATTGTTGCTGATGGACTACAGGCAGCTTGGGGGCAGGGTCTGGGTCTTTGGATACAGACCTGAACAAGGGGGAGCTCACTACCTCCCAAAGGTGGCCCAGGCAGGTGTTGGAGAGGAATGCGCATGAGAAAGTGCATCCTACTTGGTGAAAGCCTGCAGCCCCTGCCCTAGCTGGCATTCTGGGTTCTGGATTCCACGCTTCCTCCTAACTGACATTGCCCGGCTCCCTGTTCAAAGGGCCCTCCCAGGACATGCACACTGACTGAGAGCTGCTAATTATGTTTCCTCGGTCCACCTAGCCTCTCCAGAGTGTAAGCTCCTGGAGGACAGGCCGGGCCACGCCTGACCTATCACAGACACACCCAGGATGGTCCCCAGCTGATGCCCACCCCTCCGTGGCCTCCCCGACCTCAAGGAAAGGAGATGGGCTCACTCTGGGATCCTCTCTGGTGGGTCTCACACAGGGCTGGGGACACACAGGCAGGCTATGGAGCTCAGAGGCCCTGGGCTCCCAGATCTGTGACCTAAGGCTAGCCCCTTACCCTCTCCGGACCTGGAATGAGAGGCCCCCAACAAGGGCCCTTGGTGAGCCTGTGACTAAGGTGGGGACATTCGACACCCTTCTTTGGAGAGGGAAGGGGAAGGAGAGACGGCACACTGCCCAGCTCCTGGGGCAGTGAGAAACTCACCCGCCCCAGAGCCGGAGAAGGCATCGTCGTCATCACCAGACCCATCGAGATCCTCTGGAGGGATGTTTGTCCCCATGATCTGCTGTAAAAAGATTTCAGAGAAGGGGATGTCAGTGGGGAAGTTATTCTGCCCAGGGTCAAAGCCCCCTCCTCCCAGGCAGCCCCAGGAGGAGGGACCCAAGGAGGAGCCCCGGGGCCCCAGAGAGGCTGAGCTGCTTCTCCCTCAAGCCCAGCCCTGGGGGCTGCTGGGGGCACTCGGGGCCTCCTCAGACCCAGGCCCCAGCCAGCACCTTGAGCACCACGGCACAAGTTGCTCTCACAGAACAGACGGCCGTGACCCATAAAAATCCGCTCCCAAGGTGATGAGAAAAGAGGTCCCCAATGTGAAGCCCCATCAGCCCCTCTGAACACGCCTCGAGTGGCCCAGGAGAGGGCAGCCGGGGGAGCCCCGGGGTCCCCTCCCAGCGGGACCCCACAAGCCCCAGAGGGGAGGGATCTGGGCCACTCAGCCACACCCAATAACTAAAGCCTGTGAGCTCCAAGCCGGGGGCTCCTTACCAAGGACACCCCCAGTCAAGGAAGAGGAAAAGCGCCCCTGGAGAGGTGGGCCTAAGGAACATTAGCCACACCCCTTCTCACTGTCACCGCCAGGCCGGTGACTGAGCAGAGCCGAGCTGGACCTCACTTATCCTCAGCACCTCTGTTTTCTCATCTGCAAAATGGGGATGAGCCTGAACACTGCCTACCCCAGGGCTCTGGACCCTGAAGGTGCCAGAGACCCAGAAGCCGGCTCTTCCACCTGTCCGCCCATTGCTACCACTGGATTTCAGCAGCTACAAGCGTCAGCCATAGCTTCTCCCTCAGTTCAACCCATCCATTTTAAAGATGAGGCAAATGAGGCTTGGCCTTCTCCAGGCTCACCCAGGCAGAGCTGGGATTTGAACCCGGGTCCTTGGATGACCAGAGCACTCATGACCCTCCTAGCAGGCCCCTTGCCAGCCAGAGGCAGAATGGGGGTCCGGGGTCTGGGAGCCCCAATCAGGCCATTCCGAGGTCACCTTCCTGGGGCCCCCCCCCGCCCTGGGGTGGGGGGAGCCAAACCCAACCCCCGCCAGAAGGCCGAGGGCCAGGAAAAGCCACTCGGGAACCACAATGAAATGATGCTGCCAAATCCCAGCTCTGCCCTTCAAGCCGAGTGACCCTGGACAAGTCCCTTCCCCTCTGTTTCCTCCCCCAACTCAAACTCTCTGCTCCCATTGCTTTACAGAAGAGGAGGCCTCAAGAGAGCACGAGGCCAGACACTCGGCTCCTGAAGGGGTCTGGAGGCCACCCAGCCAAATCCTCCCAGAGGGAACTGCCTTACCAAGGTCGACATAAGTCAGCGGCAGTCAGAATCCCCACAAGGGGCCTTTCTGCTGCAGCCCAGACCCCTCAGGGAGGCTAGCGGAGACCCCTGATGGGACCCCTTCCTTCAGCTCTGGTATTCCCACTCTGGGAGGGTCAGAGCGGGCGCTGGCCTGGCGCAGATTCCCACAGATGCCCTGCCTCTGCCCCTTGGCTGGGATCCCCACTGCCCGCCAGGGGCTCTCGGCAGCCCAGGCTGGGAGCTGTAGGCTGGGGTGGGGCTGGGAAAGAGAGGCCTGCTGGGGCTTCGAGCTGGGAGCCCAGATCAGATGGGCCAGGCCATAAGTAGGTCAGGGAGAGCTCCCCGGAGCTGGGGCCTGCCTCTTCTCTGGCGTTCCATTCCCCAACGCAGTGTGTCAGGGGAGGGCACCCAGCCCCCTGCCAGGCATCTCCCACAGGCAGGGAGAGGCAGAGGCTGGTACCCAGGACCATGGCCCGGGCTCTGACCCTGGCTCAGCCACATCTCTTCCCTGCGGATGCCTGAGCCTCCTGCTGTCCAATGTGGGGGGGGGGGGGCAGGGAAGGCCAGATGGCCCAGACAAGCCTAGAGGCAGGCCCTGAAGGCTGGAAAGGACAGAGAGAGGCCTTGGGACCCAGGGCCAAGCCAAAGCTGGTGCCATGCTGCGCTTAACTGAGAGCGTGATGGAGGTGGGAGGCGCTTTCTAAAATCGCGAGCCCAGACCTTCATTTTACAGAAGGGGAAACTGAGGCTCAGAGAGAAAAGACTTGCCCAAGGAGGAAGAGATGGGCAGTGGGATTCTTCAGACAGAAAATGAACCCCACCCAACTGGGTGACTTGCCCAAGGTCACCAGGATTCTACGGGGAAGAGGTGGGAAGAGCACAATTAACCACCTCTGAGAGAGGGTCAGTGACCAGTCCAGGACCACACAGCTGAGGCGAGATTAGACTCCAGCCTGCTGACTCTGGCAGCGCTTGTCAGCCATGGACCAAGCAGCGTCCTGGCTCTCCAAGGCGACCTTTGGCTACTACAGAGAGGGCTGGTCAGTCCTGGCAGGGCCAACCCCCTCGGCTTCTCAGAGCCTCCAGGATGTACTGGGTCCCCCAGAGGACAGGGAGGCCAGAAACAAATAGCTGCCCCAGCTCTGGCCCATGAAAGGCATCTAATAAATGCCAGAGTCCTGACGGAGGGGACCCTCCAAGGATGGGCTGGGCGTGGGGGCCCAGAGCCAGAGAAGAAAGCGCAGACAGTGAGAAGGGAAGGCATCGAATCTGGTGTAAATGGACAGCGGGGGAAGGGAAGGTGAGCACCACGAGCTAGGGTAGGGTGGTGAAAGACTTTGGAAACTAGCCCCGAATGCCAGGGCCAGAGCCTAAGCTAGACCTGCTGGGCAATGGGGAGTCATTGACTGTTTCTGAGTGAGGGACCTATGGGGTCATGGGGATGCCTCTGGGAGACTCTGGCAGCGAGGGACTGACTGCAGAAGAAAGAGGCCAGAAGGGAGCCAAGAGGCCGAGGAGAAGGCTGGCGTCTGGGAGGGATGTGCCGCCCGCCTGCCCACCACAGAGTCAAGCGCCTACAGGGCACCATCAATCCCTCTGCAGTGACCTGGCCCCTCATCGATTCACACAAGTGGGGGGGGTGCGTAGGGACAAGCAGAAACCCGCCCCCTGAGCACATCCAGGCTCTGCTCCCTAGCGGTCAACCCTTCACACACACCCAATGAAGCCATGTGATTGGCAACGCCATGGAGGGAGTCAGAGGAGCTGGATAGAGGGAACAGAGCACTGGGCTTGGAATCAGGAAGACCTGGGTTCAGATCCTGCCTCACACGCTTGCTAGCCGTGTGCCCTTGGACAAGTCACTTGACCATTCTCAGCCTCAGTTTCCTTCTTTGTAAAATGAAGCAGGTGGAACCTGTGGCCTAATATCCCTGCCCTGGAGGAGTTCCCGCTCTAGCCAACAGACACCTCCCTCCCCCAGCTAGGGCTTCCTGGAGGAGGGGAGCCCAGGAAGGAGCCAGGAGTGGGCACCTAACTGAGCAGGGAGGCAGGGATGGGTGGCGTAAGGGGAGCCCTGGCTCTTGTGGGTGGAAGTCATCTGAGAAATGCATCTGGTGAGTCAGGACACTGGAGGGGCAGGGCTGGGGTGAGTGAGTTGCCTGTGGAGAAGAAACAGGTTAGGCAAGAGTCTTTCATAACCCTCTCTAAGCCAGGGAATTGACCCACACTGGAGCAGCAGCTACACCAAACCCGCCTGCCTGGCGGCTGGGGCGAAGCAGGCACAGGCAGCTGGCATCCTTGACCAGCGCCCCCAGCAGAGAGGAAAACCCCACTGACCAGCCATGTGACTGGCTGCTGAGATGCTGACTTTCCTTCCAGGCCCAGCTCAGGGCCCCCTCCCCAAGAGAGCAGTCTTCCTTGATGCCCCCCTCCCCCCAAAAGTTCCTCGAGCCCTCTGCCTTCCCTTCACCCCCATCATGCCCTACCTTGATGGATTTATCTGGGCACATGTTGTAATCGACCCTTTCTCCACCGGGCTGACAACAGGGCCCAGGCCAGGGTGAGGGGTGGCATCCCCAGCCCTGCACCTTGTACTAATGGTATTACAACAAGGAGGTCTGGGGACGACTGGTTTCATCTCCTTGGACTAACTGTCAGATCGTCCACATGGCAGGAACACCCAGAGCCTGGCACTTATCCATGAGCCTCAGTTTACAAAGAAGGACGCAGAGGCCCAGAGAGGGTGGTGGCATTGCCCAAAGTCACCCAGCTCAAGCTGGGGAAGGAAAGCACTTAGCCACTGTCACCCAGGGGGCGAAGCCAAGAGCCCAACCCCTGGAGCGGGAGCACGTGTGCCCACACAGGCACACTCACTGCCTACTGAGGGAGGATTCCAGGGGGCACCCAGAGAGTGCGAGGGGCAAGGTCCAGCCCCAGGCACAGAGGGCACATGTGGACCCCAGGGAAAAGCCCGGGATGGCAGGAGCTCTCTGCTCCTTCCTCTCCCCCTCTATCTCAGAGAAGAAGGCGGTGCCACAAATGTGTGTGCCCTGCCTGCCATCCCTCAGACCCAAAGCCAGAGGGAGCCTCCATCACTCGGCTGTCATCCCCCATCCCCAAATCTTTCGGAAGAAACTTGAAACACAAGCATTCTGAACAACAGCTAGGGCAGGACCCTTGATCTGAGCTGAGAGGTTCTGGGTTCGAACGGGGCCCATTCGGCAGCCCCTGCACCTCAGTGGCTCCAAAGCATCTGGCTCTCAGGAGTCAGGCTCCAGTCTCTGGCCAGAGACGCGGGCTGCGCTTTGTTGTTCTGCCTGGTTGGAGAGGGCCTTTTCTAACTGAGCAGTCCAAGGTCCACTCCTCACCATGGGAAAGAAGGGCAGTGATCACCAGGGGAGGGGCAGGTAAACCGAGAGGCCCGACTTCCCCAGACTCTCAGAGCCTGCAAGAAACAGCCGAGAGCAGGACTTCTGAGCCTTGACCCAGGGCAGAACGGAGCAAACCGAGGGAAGCCGTGGCCGCTGTCAGAACAGAGCTGAAGTGCCCTCCCCTCCTCTCCTGAGGCAAGTGGGGGAGGACAGGGGCAGAGTGTTGCATACACAGGCATCGGGGGTCGCTCTGCTGGCTGATTTTGCTTCACTTTTTCCTAGCTCCAAAGGAGGATTCAACAGGGGGAGGAGAGGAGAGACGCAGAGACCGAGGTCCTCAAAGGATCATGGGAAGTGTGAGCAGGCCATGCAGACCCTACCTCTGACCCTCTCAGGCACACGAGAGGTGCTGGCCTGGCCAGAAGCTTCTAGCAAAACTTTGCCTTTTAAAATGGACCTAATTAGCTCCCACACTCCCAAGCCAGAGTTTCTAAGACACTCCTGGCGCTGTGGCCCGCTCTGGGCTATGTTTCCCTAGCCCTAAATTCTCTGCCACAGAATGGATGAAACAAGTGAAGCGCCCCCATCGGTGAGGGGAATCTGGAATAAGGACAGAGCTGCACCGTTCCTGAATGTCCTCCAGGGTCCCGATAATAACTCAATCTGTCCAAGCCTGGAATTCTCCTGATCCAAACTGGCCTGTCAGCCAAGTATTTATTGTGCACCTACTATGTACCCAGCCCTGTGCTAAGCATCTTTGGCTCTAGGTCTCAGATCCGTGTGACCTCGGGCAAGCCTCCTCCACTCTCAGGGCCTCAGTGTCCCCTCTAAAACAGGGGGCTGAATTCGAGGGCCACCCTGAGCCCTCCTAGCTCCAAGTCCTCCCATGCTATGCACTCCCTTCACACGTCTGGCCACTGCATTCCTAGGCAGCCTTTTCCTTCCCATTCTCCTTTTCCAACGGTCCTTCAGGAAGAACACCGTGCGGCTTGAGTGCACATGAGGCCTGCTGAGCACACGTCTCCCTATCAGAAAAACGTGGCTGCCCCTGCCCTGCCTGAAGCAGGAATGCCCACTAAGTGGCCCTTTGAGGCCCAGCCCCAAGGACACCATTGCAACACTCACTGATAGAGTGAGTACCGAGTGTCCTCCAACAGCTGACTGCCAGCAGCCCTGGCTCGCCCTCCCCCTGCTGCTCCCTCATGGCCCTCGGAGGCTTTCTGCAGGTGTTCTGGTGGGACCCCGGGGGGGGGGGCAAGCCAGGTGTTCCCCTCTAGGACCTACTTGCAAATCAACCCTAAAACTAGTGAGGAGAGAAGCAGAGGCTCCAGGGAAAGACCCAGGCTCAGCGAGTCTGGGGTGGGGCTGACAAAGCCAAGAGCAGAATTCAGAGAGGGCAGAGCTGAGAGAGAGCTGGGGCCCTCTCTCCTTTTGGTTTAAAGCTGAAGAAATCAAGGCCCAGAGGGGGAATGGAGTTTGCTCAGGGTCACACAGCCAGGCCTCCAGACTCCTCACCCTGCATGCCCAGCTGTGAAGAGGACAGACACTACCCTGGAAGGGGCACGAGCCAGAAAACAGCTATGCCTTCTGCAGCCTCACTGGGCTCTGGCCAGGTCAGCTCTGGAGGCCCATCGGGGTCAGCGAGCCAGAAATCTGAGCCCTAGAGGGGCCGCTCTTCCCTGCTGGTCAATGCCCCGACTTCTCTGAGCCACCGAGGACCAAGTGAGATCCTCTCTGAGAACTCGGGGCCCGCTGCCCCAAAGCTTTGTCAAGGAGGGGCTACCGCCCAGCCAGCCATCCCTGCGCCCACCTGCCACTGGCCAGCAAGCATCACTGTCTTCTGTCCTGGCAGACCCAATCCTTTATCAACTTCCTTTCCTCTCACCAAGAATCTAAGACAAGCCATAGCATGCCCAGGCTGAGTGCAGCTGCAGCAGAGAAGGGCAGGGCAAAGCAGAGGGGGCAGGGACCCAGCCGTGAAGTGGGGGGAAGGAGCCAAAGAGCGGCCTGAGTCATCCTAGAAGGGCCTTTCTGAAGGGAGCGAGAGTTGGGGCGATTGGGAACAAAATGCATCTGCCCAGGGCTGTGTGGTCATGAAGGGGAGGGCAGAGCTCGGGCTGCCTAGGGCAGGGGGGGTGCACAAGGGGGGCAGGCATAGACTTGGCTCCACCCTGAGTCCGGCCAGGATCGCGCCTTGGCACATGCCCCTTGCCAACAAGCCGGTGTCACCCGGCTGACTTAGCCCACTTTCCCAGCCGGCTGGGGGGGGCAGCTTCTAGGGTCCTGAGTGAGAAATGAAGGTGACTGAGGGGGCAGGAAACTTGCTCTGGCTTCATAGATCTTTCCTCCTGAGAGGCTGGGTGCGGGGGGGGGGGGGGGGGGGGGGCCCTGCTCTCTCAACTTTGCAACGCACTAGCTGTGGGACCCCGGGCAGAATGCCTGTTTCCTCCACTGCAAATGAAGCCAATAACAAGCCCCCCTCACACACACACACACACACACACACACACACACACACTCTTTCTCACACACATTCAACACACACACACACTCTCACACACACACACTCACACACACTCTTTCTCACACACATTCAACACACACACACACTCTCACACACACACTCTCACACACACACAATCACACACACTCACGTACACACACACACACAGATATTCACCAGTCCCAACTTCAGAGCCAGGGGAGGTCAGACCCAGGGATCCTCTGAGGCTGCCAAGTCTCCCCTTCTACAGATGGGAAAGGTGAGGACCACAAATGAGACCTTCCCAAGGAGCCCCCGGCCTCCTGACTAGGGGCAGGGGGAGCATGGAGGGAGTCTGGGGGAGACTCTCCCCGACCCCCGACTCAGTCACCGGAGCTCAAACAAGCCCCAGCCTCTCAGCCTCATCTTCCTTGTCAGCACAACCAGGGAGGAGCTGGGGCCCAATGGCTCAGAACTTAGGACTTTCAGACCCAGTCTGTAAAATGGAGATCCCATCACAGGAAGTCAGAGCTCAGAGAGGCAGTTGGGGTGTGGGAGATGGAGAGACCAGCCTGGGATTCAGAAAAACCTCCAGAGATCTGGGTTCAAGCGTCACCTCTGACATGTTGGCTGTAGGACCCTGGGCAAGTCACTTAACCTCTAGGCAATTGTGTAGGAATCTCAACGGCCAGTCTGCACTGGTGAAAGAAGGCACCCTCCCTCGCCAGGGAACCACCGACCCAGAGAAAACCCACCAGCCCACCCACCAAGCAGAAGCTCCAAGGGGGCGATCTTAGGGGCCAAATGATGCCCGCAGCCCCGACATGAAGCCGGGTCCCCCAACTCCCCGGGGGCTTTCATTCCCACACCCACCTCAGGAGGGGCCAGGGGCCCCTCCCCCAGCACGGGATCTAACTCGAGAGTTCAGAGACAGATGGCCAGGCGGTCACCATCCCCAGGCTTCTCTGGCCCCTTGCACCGCTCTGGGCAGAGGACGATAATAAGGGAGGGTGGCTGAGCTGCACTGCTCCCGTCAGCGGACAAGAGCCGGCTGGGGCATGGGTGGGGAGGAAATCTGCCCGCCTTGTCCTGGGCCTCATGGGGGTGGGGGCGAGGGGAGTCTCTGACCCCTGACAGTTCTTCATGCCCCTCAGAGGTCAGGGGGAGGATTCTGGGCAGAACCTGGTTCTCCAGTGTTCCTGATTATGCCCAGGCCTGCTCTCCCACCCACCTCCCCCATCTAATCCTGCCCGGCAATTATCATGGGGAAGGAGGGGAGGGGGAGACAAAACCCGGAGAGCCTATTTCATACTGAGGTGCTAATGACAGGCCGGAGTGCGCAGGGAGCTGTTTCCTCGCCCCAAGGACCCTCCCCGGCAGGGGTGTCCACCAAGGTCCCCAGCAGCACAGAGAGGACAGGCCCCCAGCACCCCAGGTGCCAGCTCTAGGGAGAGGACCCAGCCTTGGGTGGAGAGCAGAAGATGGAGAAAGCAGAGAGCCGGCACAAGCCGGGACACGTCCCTGCACCAGGCAGTGGGGAGCCCGGCTGCAGGATAATGGCAGGCGGGCGGCAGAGGACCAATTCCTCGGCTTGCCTTTCACCTGGGCGTGGGTGGGCACGCTAGCCCAGTCCAGGTTCCTGCCCTTCCACCCCGAGCCCACTCAGGCCATCCTGGGGGCAGGGGAAAGTGAGACAGCCCTGCCCCTGCCCCTGCCCCGCTGCAAGCCTCCGGGGAGCCTGAGTCTCTCCTGATCTCTGCAGCCCGGCTTAATGGAAGAGGTCCAGACTAGCAGTCAGGCAGCCCTCGGGCCTCTGCCCCTGCTTCTTCTCCCTTGCGCCTGCACGCACTAGGGCACTAGGGCGAGGCTCTCCTCCTGCTGAGGCATGAGCTTCCTCATTTGTGAAATAAGGCAGGTGGACTGCCCTCCTGGATACCCCAGAGCCTGGCTCCTCTTGTCTCCTGGGGGTGAGCAATGCCCCCAAGATGAAGGTCATCGCTTCTGTTGTTCAGCCGACTCTCTGAAACCCCATTTGGATTCTCTTGGCAGAGATACTGGAGTGGTCTGCTATTTCCTTCTCCAGCCCATTTTACAGATGAGGAAACAGGCAAACAGGGTGAAGTGACTTGCCCAGCATCAAAGTTAGGAAGGGGCAGAGGGCAGATTTGAACTCAGGAGGATAAACATGCCTCTATCCACTGTGGATAGCTACCCTAGCTGCCCACCTTCTAGGCCTCAGGTAAAAGGAGTCCATGACAGACTTTTGAAAACTGCCCCAGGTCCTCCCCCAGTGACACCCTGGAGGCTGGTGGAGGGGAGCAGCCTCTCTGAGAATGTTCAAGTGCTAGCAATGTTTTCCACTCTAAAAAAAATTAAAGTATGACTTCCCTCCTCTTAGGAGAGGCGGGGGACTATGGGTGTGGAATGCTGCATACACCGTGGGACGTGTAGCTATCAGTGTTGGTTACCTGGTTTTTTACTTTGTGACAAAGGGAGGCTTCCCGGGCAGCAGGGCAAGGATGCACATTCTCGGAGCTGGCTCAACCCACCAGCCATCCTGAAACCGCCTTCCGCCCCAGGCTGAGATACCTCAAGGTTTCCGGGGCTGACCCGCCCCCAGTTTCTTAATGACCACAGGATATTTTGAGCCCAGGCAGCTGCACAGGTGTGGACGCTTGCTCACTTCCCTGGGCCTCAGTGTAAAGAGGGGATCACCAACTCCTTGTCTCCCTCATAAGGCTGCTGGGGGGAGGTGCTCTCAAACCTGAACTGGGATGTCCAGCCTCCCTTCTGAACTCCCAGGACACAGTCCTCGCCTCTTCCTAGAGGGGTCCCAGCCTCCTGAAATGCCCCTGCCTCCAAGCAGCCTTCCTGGAGTTCACCGGGGGCCCTAGCTGGAAAGATCAGTGAGTTCAATCCCTCCCCCCTTATTTTACAGATGGGGAAAGTGAGGCCAAGGAGGGGGAGGGCCCAAATGAGGAGGCTATCCTTGGCTTCCTCCGCATCACCAAGCATCACCAATCGTGTCTGCAGGCCAAGAGACTCGAGTAAGAACAGCCCCAGGTACTTCCTCTGGCCAGGCTCGCTCTCAGAAAGGATCCACTCACATTTCCCTCTGGCTCACAGGCCTGCAAGCCGCTCTGTGTTATTCTACAGATAAGGAAGCAAAGCCAGTCATCCAAGGTGACATCAGCCAGAGGCAGGATTTGAACCCAGTCGTCCCAATACAGAATTCCGCAGCCTGGCGGCCTAAAGCCAGGTCCAGCACAAGACCGACCTCTCTGCAGGCTGCAAGCCTGCCCTGTCCCGGGTTGGGGGGCATGAGGGACCCGTGGCAGGTCCCCAGCCCCCACCAGAGAGCAGCAAAGCCTGGCCTGTGGAGAAGGTGGGCGCCTCAAGCAAGACATCTGAGCTGGAATGCAGGCTGGGCACGGGTGACCAGGGATGTTGAGGATGAATGTTTCATCAATGTGCAACAGCCTTCACTGAAAAGATTGCAGCTCCTCAGACCGGGCATTTCCTAGCACCGGTCTCAGATGCACCTCTCAGCATCCCTAAGGGGCAGGTAGTTGGGGGCGGGGAGTGGACACCAGCCAGTCCCCAAAGCCCTTCTGATTCAGCCTGGGATTCTTAGGGAGCTCCTGGCCAGGGCAGCTGGCACGAGGACAGCCTGGACCTCGCTCTGGGAACGTTGGGTGGATGGAAGCCTGGAAGAGCAGAGCCGACCCCCCGTGGAGCATCATCACAGCCCCAGATGGGAGGAGAACCCTGGGCCACAGAGAAGCCGAGGGATCCCCACAAGGGCTGGCCTCGATTTAGATCTAAAATGAGCAGGTTGCACCAGACGACCCTCGAAGGTCTGCTCTGGGTCTTGAGTCTTTCCTAGCCCTGACATCTAGCAAGTTTTGAGACCCTGCCCCACCCACCCATCAACCAGCCATGACATCAGACAATCAGTCAACAAGCGGGGTTAAGCTCTCACTACGGGTCAGAATACAAAGAGGGGGCAGAACCACAGTCCCTGCCCTCAGGAAGCTCACACTGGAGGCTCTGAGGTGGCCCAGTCCCCAGCACCCCCCAGGCACACCAGCCCAGCCTGCCTGCCCCCCCATGGCTGCTGGACTTTGCCTCTGCCTGCCCACCTGGCTCAGCAGAAAGCAGGGCAAGAGTGAATGACCAGCAGCCAGCCCTGGGGAGAGGCCGGCAGAGCAAACAGGAGCCACCACCCTCAGCCTGCCCACTGGTGCCCAGAGCCGGAGCCCCAGCGAGGCCTGGGGGCAGCTCGTGCTAGGGACACACACGCCGCTCTTTAGACCAGCCAGAGCCCACAGAACAAGGCTGGCACCAGAGCACAGGCTCCTCCCAAGCCCCTTCACTCAATGCCCACGTTGGTAGGTGCCGGTTCCACCCACTGCCCCACGAAGACAGAGACCGTCTGCAGCCCCCCGCCCCGGGCTCAGGATGGATGCCAGCCATGCCGTTCACTGCCCACAGCTGGTCGAGGGAGCTGGGTGAGCCCCCTCTCCCCTGTGGCC